CCCATCCCCGCCCCCACCCCTGCCCCCATCCCTACCCCCGAGCCCTGAATCAGCCCTGCACCCAACCCTGCACCCGAGCCCTGCATCAGCCCTGCACCCATCCCTGCACCCGAGCCCTGCATCAGCCCTGCACCCGAGCCCTGCATCAGCCCTGCACCCATCCCTGCACCCAAACCCTGAATCAGCCCTGCACCCATCCCTGCACCCAAGCTCTGCCCCCAGCTCAGCACCATAAGGCGCCCAAGTTGCTCCTGGTGTTGGCCGAGCACCTCGTGGCCTGGGCACCCCACGAGAGCCTTAGTGAGAGCATAAATCCCATGGGTTTTTCCTGCATGTGGAAGGAAAAAGGTGCTCGCAAGGGAACCTGCAGCCCCGTGGGAGGGACCCGCCGACGCAGCTACCTGATGGTCAGGTTCTCCATGACCTCCGGGAAACCCTCCAGCTCCTCCCTGAGCTCCTCGAAGGTGATGGAGCCGCTGTGGTCCTTGTCGGCAGCCTCGAAGAGCGCCAGGGTGAGGTCTCCCAGCCGCTCCTCGGGCAGGGCTATCGCCCTCTCCCGCAGGCAATCGCCACAGCACCCTGACAACCCCACGGCTTTACCTTCACCTTCCACCTTTGGTGCAGAAACTGCCTCCCTTTAATGCAGAAATTGCCTCCCCTCCTTGCACGCAGGCTCCTTCGGGAGGAAACCGCGCCCAGCCAGAGCAGGACCATGCCATTGCTCATAAATCAGCAAAATCATGGATTTTAAAAAAAAGAAAAAAAAGTGACCTAATGGGCAGTTTACCTGCAGCAGCCGTGTTGTTGCTTGGCTGGCAGAGCTCAGCGCTTGCAAAGCCACGCAGGCACGCTCGCCTGGCAGCCAGGCACCAGGGCAAAGCAGAGGGGCGAGGGGCTCGGGGCTCGGCGCACGGTCCTTCGGCCAGCGGCGCACGCCCAGGCAGGCCAGAGCAGGAAAAGCAGCACGAGGAGAGCTGTGCTTTTGTTATTTCCAGCTTCCCCAGCCGCCGGGGGAAGAAGAGAGCGTGCTGGGATTCACAAATATCAATGGGATTGAGAGTTGATATTTGAGGGGAGCGGAGACTGCTCCTCTCCGCGGCGTTCCTGGGAAATCCTGACGTGTGGCCGGTTTAACCGCTGGCTTTCAGGTGGATTTTCGATGCTTTCGTCACGGGGTGAAGGCAGCGGCATGACGCCAGGCAGACGCTTGCCTTCAGTGAAGATCCAGCGGTGAAGACCAACCTACGCTATTACCCAGCTGGGCTTAACCCGAGCGGGGACGTGACAGCAGCACCCAACCACACGACGATGCCCGCACTTGGATGCTCAGAGGGGAGCCGTGCCGCCTTGTAAATCACAGCTTTGATCGCACAAAACCCCCCCACAACCCCAAATTAATCTATTTTTTATCATCTTACCATCCACATCATAAACTTGGAAGAGGAACCTCAGCTTGTCCGTCTCGTTCCCGTGCACGAGCAGGCTCAGGGCGTTCAGCAGCTCCTCCAGGCTAATGGTCCCGCTCCCATCCGAGTCGAACAGCGCGAAGAACCTCTCGGCGAAGAAGGACTGTGGGGAGAGGGGCAAGCGCTCTGAGGGGGTGGTGGGATGCTCTCCACCGGCCGAATCCTGGTGCTACAAACAATTTCTCACTGCCAGCGAATGGGGATTGCCTGGCAAAAGCTGAAAGTCAAGGGGACGTCCCAAGGGCAGGAGGGAGGAACAAAGGCTGCCTTTTTTTGCAGGGGTTTATCAGCAGCGCAGCTGGGGGGGGCTGCCCGGGGGAGGGAGGGAGCCCTGGGGACATGGGACGGGGCGATAGGCAGCCGGGAGAGAATATTTGCTGGGCATAGCCAAGCGTGTTCAGAGACAGGCTGTGGATATCCAATCGACTTTGCACCGCGGGTGGTTAATCCGTGTTTTCCACTCCTGCTTGCTGCAGAATTCCCCTAGGTTTCTCTCTCCTTCCCTCTCCCATGCAACACCATACATTTCTATTTTTAAGCTTAATTTTCGCCAAGTCCAGTAAGAGACCGCGGCTCGGTGCCGGGCTGCCGGCGCTGCCCGGAGGACGGGGCCCTGTGGGAGCGCTCACCTCCTTCACTTGCAGAGCCCTTTTGAACTCTTCCAGGCCAATTTCTTTGTCCTCCCCCGCGATGCTCCCGAACTGCTTCGTCACCCACCGCAGCCACTCGGCGTCCTCGGCCACGCTCATGGTGCGGGCACCTGCGGGAGGGCACAGCGCAGGATGGGCAGCAGCCCCTAGAAACCCCCCGTAGCCTTCAAAATCTGCTTTTTTCCCTGTTCCTGCCCTGCTTTCACCACCCTCAGGCTCCCCGCAGCCTCGCAGAGCAGAGCCGGGTGCCGCTTGCCAGGGCATCCCTCACCGCTGGCCCCCGAGGTGGGACCCATGGCAGCCATGCCTGTGGGTGCTGCATCACATGCGGCCCCAAATTTCCACGTACTGAAGAAACGATCTGCTGAGTCCTATTTGTACCTGCCACGCTACCGACCGCCGCGGCAAAGGCGCTGGAGGTGACGTTAGCACTGGTAAGGGGTACCGCCTCCCTTCTTGGCCTTTCCTCCCAAGGCAAAGGCCAAAAGATGCAGCTACTGGAGCCCGCCCCGTGCCTGCACGCCCCGTGCGAGGCTCTCGGGTGCATTTATGGACCTAAATCACCAAGCACCCACACACCAAGGTGCGTCTGGCACCTCCCTGGTCTCGCTTTGCCCTCGCAGGAGCAGACATCCCCGCCAAGGCTGTGCAGCTGATGGCTGAAAGGGTGGGAAATAACCCACCCGCTTCCCCAAATAAAAACCTGCAGCTGCCTATGCTGGGCGAGCACCACCATGACCCAGCAGCCGCCGTGGGCACAGCCTTGGGACGGA